AAAAAGTTAATTTAGGTTTATTTCAACTTTTTTTTGGTGGTTACAAGGTCAGTCAAATTGACCAATCCTGTTTTGAGATAGGGTATAGAAAATAACAGATAAACTATAAAGTTTTACTGAAAAAAAACGTTTGAAATGCATTTAGGAGGTTTTAAGGATTACACAAAGGAAATACGAGGTTTTTGAGATGTTGAAAAGTATTTTTAATTTTAACATGAAAATTACTTTGCACACAGCCTAATGAAAACAAATACTCAATATATTCATGCAGAAATCTTTATCTTATTTTATTAAAAATACTTCAATACGAAATATGACTTTTTGTATGTGAAAGACTTGTAATATTAACTGAAAGACTGTCAAATTTCATGAAGATATCCCCAATATATTAAATTTATAAAGACTTTAAATGAGTACAAAATGTCACGTGATTCGGTCAAATTGACTGACCCTGTATTGAGAGGGTTAATACTTATCACAATCATATTAACATTTTAACTCTACTGCATGCATTATGAAAATACAAAAGAAAAATTTCTTACTCAAACAGGTCTAAACTGCACAAGAAATAATTTTTTGTGAAATTTATTTTTGTAACTTATAAAAGTGTACATTATTTAGAAGTAACATTGTTTAATACAGGAAACAATTAAAATAATTTTGTGGTTTATTTAGACTGTTTGCTGGAACTAAGAACATTCAACTGCAGAAATGAGGCATTTGTATGTGTTTGAAGCAACAGACAGATTTGTCTGTTATCTGTACATTACAATGTGCAATAGAGGGTTAAAATAGTATTAGTTTTTGTTTTGTTTTTGCTTTAAGTTATTCTGACTATTTTCTTCTGAGTTGGTTGTTCTGGAATGACAAAGTAAATTGTTGAAATGTGCATTCTTACCTTCAATTATTTTGACTAAAATATTTGATTTTATAATTATTTTTCCAACTGACTATTTGTTGCACAAAACAAATAATCAATAAGGTTAAAGAGAGATCATAATAAAAACAACTTAAACTGTCAGGTTTAACCGGGAAAATGAACAGTTAAATAATCAGTGTATTTAGTTTTAAATATCTCAATAACGATTCTAGCAATAATAATCTTTCATTTTAGATGAAGTATACTTCTTTTACCATAGATACAAAATATATATATATTTACAGAGTGAAATAAAAGACATCTAAAACTGTTAAAAGTACAAATACCTTCCCCAAATGTCACAATGTTATTAATGTTTATTTTCACTTGGAATTTTGTTTATTAGGACATTAAAATACAAGTCCTCTCAAAGACACTACCCTAGGTTTTATGCTAAGTACAAGCAAAATCTTCAAAATAGAAATAGTTCTCACCCTACACCTCACAAAATGCTCACAATACAATGAAGATCTCACTTTGGTCAGTTGTGTACTTGAAAATAATAACTTGTCTAATACAAAATAATCTTAAAATTAGACATTGTATGATCCTGTAATGGTTACTCACTTTTGCATTAATAAAAACAGTATTACAATTTTACATTCCAATAACTGATGAAATGGACTAACATGGAAAATATTCAAAGCTCAAACAACCTAGTTATATTCTGCCTACTACAGAGTGGTGTGAAAATGTGTCAAACTGGAACAAATAGCAACAACACTGTGGGAAAATGAGCATAAATTTTCATCTTCCCACATCCTGTTGGTAAGACTATGAAAGTATCATTGTTTTATAATGTAGATCTGATAGCCATTATCTGCTTACCTTCGAAACTAAACCTGTATTTTCCCTTTTTTATAATTAATATGCATTCTGTAAACAATACCAGAAATCAACACAGGATATCATGATTGTGTAAAGTTTATAGTTCTACGGTTTTTCATTAGTTACCTATTGCACATGGCAACTGATACATATTTATAATAAGGCACATTAAACCTTACCAAACTGATCACTGAAAAACAGAAGGTGCAGAATTATTTGAGTTTAACTGAAACTTGCAAAACAAAAAGTACTTAAACAGTAAATTCCTTATCAAATATTTCAGTGTTTCTCTTTCCACTGGTCAAGTTGCTGCAATCTGTCAAAAATATATCAACTCTTTAGTAGTTGAAGTTAACGTCTGCATGTCACAAAAGGAGTTATATATTTATATTTTTTACATATGCTGTGATTTAAGATATAATTAATAAGATCTTCACTAACAATTGCTACAACAGATATATTGGAGAAGCATGTTAGGAAACACAATTAATTTAATTGGAACACAAATATAAAATATGCTACAAAGAAAAGTTTTCATAAAACTGATTACTGCAAGATTATTCATCTGTAGAATAAGTACATGGCTGTACATGTATTATAATAAATATTTCTTGCAGCCAGGATAAGAGTAATTATCAGCCAATTTCTCACAATAAGTATAATATTCTAATTGTAAATTGACTTCAGTGCGTTTCAAAGACAGCAAACTGAAAGCAAACAGTGGCAATTTAGACTTAATGACACGTATTAATGTTCAACGTGTAAGCAGACACTGTAGTTTCAAATTCAAAGTGTTTACAAAAGAATAGTTACACATACAAATACAATTACACAGACATATTTTGAACTAATATACCTCTCAAATAAACCCCTGTACAACACATACAATATAATGGTGAGAAGAACTGTTTTTGTTTCTTGCAAATTCACTTTTCAGAGAAGCTTTCCAATGTAGAAGTTGCAATTAAAAAAATAGTTTTACACATACAGCTACATGATTTAGACAGATTTCATGCTGAAAGTGGACATACTCTTCCCTATAAGCCACTGGTATCACATATTAATACTTTAATAGAATGGTAATTGTATGTTAAATGCTTATTGACAGTTTTTATTTATAATGTCTTAATCTTCTGCATCTTGGAAATTTATTTCATCAATTTGTTCTGATGTCCCTTCTGATTTAACCCTTCAAGTGCAGTTGACATCATATGATGCTGCGTAGGTGACTGAGATTGACCCCGTATGATGCAAGCATTTTGCGTGCAATATATTGTATGGTCTGTCGCAAAAATTTACAAGTGTTTGCGCATGGGTAGAAGGCAGCTTTACACAAGATACAAACAAAGGGTTAAAAACAATAAATTAAATCTAAATAATTAAATGTCATTTTGACATTATAACTATTGTGGTATGATTCCAAACACAAATCAACAGGATATAAAAAAAGAATATTTACTGTTGATACATTAAATTTCATACTCTCCACAGTTTTAGTTTGCTTTTGAGTAATTTGTTGATTAATTATTTTTGTGGAAAAAAAAAAAGTTGTTTTATGAACATGTATAAAAAATGTTTATCCTTTTTTATATTATTTCACAAAAACATTTTCTGTGTATATTTGGTCATCTTCTGTAAGTGGTCCTTGATTAGAATTTTGGCTTGTATATTTTTTATGTAATGTTCAAATCTGCTTCTTGATAAAGCCTTATAGATTAAACCATGCAAAAAAACTGGTTTCTGCTACAAGGAAATTTGATGAGAATTTGAACTAGTGATTATAGGAAGGTGCTCAAAGCTAAAAAAAAACAACTAATAGATACTTTTAAATATTAGGTTATATTTACATGCATCTACTCAGACAAGTTTTGGGGTAAGACAAAATACCAAAAACCATGAAGAAGCAAAAAAATTACAGCAACATTTTTTTTTATTATTATTATTTTTAATTTCATTTATTTTTTGTTCTTGGCCTAATGTTTTCACAACATAATTTTTCAATTTTGGACACTGTAGATTTTGAACCTGCTCCCAAATTTAGTCTGCATTACACCCTATATATATATATATTCATTTTGTGTAAAAGTCATTTTTGTTAGTTTTGCATACCTCATCAACTTGGGCTTGTGTCTGTTGTACTCTCTTTGAAGCTGCTTGATGTTGGGGGTTAGGTGTTCTAACTCCTTCAGCACCTTGGGCACCACCGGCTCCTCCATCCTGGGACCTAAATTATGTCAATAGGAGGGAAGGAAAAACCATACTGAATCAATAAAAAAATATATATCTCACATATAAACATATATCTAGAGTGTTATGAAACTTACTATTTGTCATAATCTTCTAGTAAATACAAATCTGAATCTATGATTCACCCAGCTCTAGTAATAATCTCTGACTTAAGAGGGCAGCACCGCAGCAGTAATGCATTTAAATTGCCCCTCTGGCTAATAATTTAATTTGTTTAGAAACAAAAGGTTAGTGGATTTTTCAGTAGTCATTTTCCAATGAAATTCAACTCAGGTAAAAACCACTCAAGGGCACTTTCATAATTGATCAATCAAAAATCATTTTTACATGGTAATGTGATGTTAATAATTGTGCAAATATGATTTGTTCATCTAAGAGTCTGCAAATACCATTAATTCAATTAGTAAACCAAATATCTAGTGGACACAAACAGGCAATTGTATTAGGTTGACAACTGTTGATTGCATGCGACTCTTAGTTTTTAGTGTATATTTGTTCAGTATACAAGATGTGTAAATTAAAGCATGCAAAAGGAATATAGGATAATCTTGTCACTTGAAACACGACAGTTTTTTTCACGTGAAAAAAAGTTGAAGGAATGCTCTTTTTTGTCATTAACCATCATAAACCTTCTGGTTATTTTTACAATTACAAACTAAAATATAAACAAGGAACACTATAGCAGCTAATTATTATGTTTAACAATCCTATCCATATAAAGATCACGTTTTATTAGTATGTATACAGATACGAGAAGCCTGGTGGTCAAGGAACTTGACTTGTAATGTGAGGGTCACGAGTTCGAATCCTCATCACCAAACGTGCTCATCCTACATAAGGTCAATGACTAGGTTAAGCACCCAGGTGTAAATCGCTCTTGGCTTACAACAATTATCGGCTGATCCCTAATTCACTAGGGCTAATGTCAAAATGGGGGGAGAGGGGGACACCCAAAATCTTTGACTTTCCATAACTTTCATGCATATCCATTCATTACCTTCTTGGCCCTGAAGTAATTACTTAATCATGACCTGATTAGCTCAACTATTGATGCTACCCAACATAAACTAAAGTTATAATTTTGGTCAGTTATTATAACATCTTGCTTTTGCTTCTTCCACTAAAACATCTCACTTTCTGAAATGGTAACAAAAAAAAGATGGTCATTTTCATTAAAAATATGAAAAAAACATGAAATTAGGGTTACAAGCTATCCTCTTTATTTTTCTTAAAAGAAAAAGGGTAAAAACTATATCAAACTCACAATAGTTCATACACTTTCTCTACAAAAGAAACCAGTATGGTATTGGTATTTTCATCTGCAATGACACCTAAACAAGGTCATATGTTACTCAGTTTTCTAAAGGTGGCATTAACTTTGAAACTAGGTTGTCATGACAAGCTGCACAAAATAAACAAATCAAGTGAAGGGGGACACATTTATTTTGTACAAATAAGAAAGCCTCTTCCCTTACATCTGCAAACTCCCTCTGTTGAACTTGATTCAGATATGGTTTCCTTTACTGACACTGGTGTATTAGTGAAACGAATTACATACCTCATACCATACTAGTACAATGGATCACAAGGTCATGTATTCTTAGGCATATTACAGCTACATTATCCACTTACTAGCACGGATACTGTGCCTGCTCTGTAAGAATAACCAAACCAAATAAAAAGGAGGGGGGGGGGGAGTTGTTCAATTATCAAGGAAGTATATTCTGTTTATACAGTTTTTCAGACCCTGAAAGAATGAGAAGTACAATGAAACTAATAAATATATATAACAAATAATGACAAAACAAAGTTAATTCTATTTTATATGTACTATTCATGACTATGATAGTGTATATTTGTATTTCTTTAGTATTGCAAATTGAGTGTATTTAATGCTTTTCTCACATTTTTCAGAACACTGGCTCATTATCTGAAACCTTTGAGATATCCACATAAAAACACTAACAGTTGGTTTCAGTCTGACTGCCAATTTGCTCACTATAATTCTTATGCAGCTGTAATAAGTAAAGAACTGTCAAAGTCAAACTGAGTTATCAGTATTTTCAAATAGATAACTAGTAATCCTAAATATGACTTTATCACATACTTTGAATATACGGATTATTTATGAAAATGCAAGTTAACCCTCAATATTATACAAAAAAGTATACTGAAGAAACACAGCCATTTCAGTGAGTTAGTTATCTCACTAACCCTAAGATATTGTCAAGTCTACCAGCTACATGTCACTCCCAGTGAGAAAGGTTATATACAAATGGTCATTAGTTTGTACACTAGCGGCTGCTATTATTGAACTTGCTGTTGGTTGATGTACAGTGTAAGGAGGTGTTTGCCATCTTGGGGAAACAGACAAGTTTCTTCCATGCACATTTTGTAACACACACACACACACATTGATTATTTATATTTACTACAGTAGAACTTTCATAGGGCAATAAAACAATAAAATTTCATTATAAATAGATGTATAATGCTACGAACTTAAAGCTACTTAGGATAAACGAATGTAGTTTCAGGTTACCATTTGAAGTCATACTAGAAAAAAAAGAAAATTTAAAGTTATTTAAAGTTTTTTTTTGTGGTTACGAGGTCGGTTCGAATTGACCTGTCCAATTTTGAGATTAGGGTAGGGAAAATAACATACTCTATAAGAATTTAGTGAAAAAAACGTCTGAAATGCATTTAGGAGGTTTTGGGAATTACACAAAGGAAATTTGAGATTTTTGAGATGGCAAAAAGTATTTTTAATTTTAACATGAAAATTACTTTATACGGACAATTCAAAACAAATACTCAATATATTCATGGACAAAACTTTATTTTATCAAAAGTACTTCTCTAAGAAATATGACCTTTTGTATGTGAAAGACTTGTAATATTAACTTAAAGACTGCCAAATTTCATGAAGATATTCCCAATATATAGAGTCATACATATTAAATTGATGTCAACTTTAAACGAGTACAGAAGGTCATGTGACTCGGTCAAATCGACAGACCCCATGTCGAAAGATTTAAAGCATTTAATGCTCTATCAAAATATGTATATAGTATATAATATACATATATATGGTACTTAACACGATGACTACTGGCTACTAACTTTCTTAGTA